GCATGACCCCCGCACGCCTGGCGGGACCAGCATGACCCCCGCACAGCTGGCGGGACCAGCATGACCCCCGCACGCCTGGCGGGACCAGCATGACCGCCTGGCGGGACCAGCATGACCCCCACACGCCTGGTGGGACCAACATGACTCCCACACGCCTGGCGGGACCAGCATGACCCCCACATGCCTGGCGGGACCAGCATGACCCTGCACATCTGGCGGGACCAGCATGACCCTGCACATCTGGCAGGACCAGCATGACCCCCGCACGCCTGGCGGGACCAGCATGACCCCCGCATGCCTGGTGGGATCAGCATGACTCCCGCACTCCTGGCATCATGCTCCAGTCAGCACCCCCACTTCCAGCACATCCACGGGGGCACCTTGGGCAGGCGTGGGTCAGGATGTGCCCAACTGGGGACTTTGGCCATGAGGGTGTGAGCTGCAGCAGCTTCCCAAGCCTCCTAGATGCCAAGGTGCCTGCCTCCTCCTGGGGCCAGCCCTCTGGAAGCCGGGTGCTGGCTCCAGATATCTGGCCATCCTTCTGCAATGGGACTCCTCTGGACAGCAGGGGAACAAAGCCCAGCTATGTTTTCTGCGAAAGGAACAAGGACCAAGGGCTCAGACACAGGATGCCGGGGGAGACGAGGCAGTCGATGTGGTTTTACAAAGCTGCTCACTCCTGGCCTTGCGGATGGATGCCTATCTGCCCTCTCAGCACATGTACAGCTTTGCCAATGGGGTGGACTGTGTCCCAGCCTCCAGAGTGTGTCAGGGATGGAGGCCTTTGGACTGTAGTGTCTGGGGAGCAAGCTGCCAAGAAGGCCACTGATGGCTGGGCCCACCCACCCCAGCACACGCTCCAGGACATGGCCACAAGCTGACAACGAGATATTTCAAAGTCTGGAAACGAGGAAACACACTTCCATTTAGCCCATGGTAAAAGAGAAAAACAGAAACAAGGGACCCCTCAAACTGGACAATGATAAAATAACACGTGTGAGAACTTGCGGAAAAAGAAGAGAGGTTCAGAAGGAAGAAGCAAAGCTCAAACCTCCAGAGTTAGAGAAAGACAAACCCCAAAAGAGTGGGGGTAGGAGACGGCTGGCTTCATGGGGTGGGTGGGAGACGGCCGGCCGCGTGGGGTGGAGGGCAAACACTGGAGAGAAGCAAAGAAGGGAAGCTAGTCCCGGAAAGCTGGTTACTTGGACAAACTTCCTGTGAGATGGATGAGGGCAGGGATGGCGGCCAAATCCCCAACAGCCCAAATGCCACGGACATTGGGAACGACCTGGGACAACAAACTGAAAACATGAAGGATGCAGAGAAAATCCTTGGGAAGGCGGCTGGCCCGACAGGACCGGTGGGGAAGCGTGTGAGGGACGACAACCCAGGCTCGCAGGACCCTGCGGCCCAAGGTAAAGGAAGAGACCCACTGCCACCTGAGACAGAGGCTCAGTCCCGCCCGATGGGGGGACAGACGCAGGTGGCTCGGGCAGGTCTGGGGCCACCTCCACCTGTGAACGCAGGGGCAAGAATTTAAAACAAGCTGGCAAACCATGTCTGGCAACATATAAAAAGGACAACACACCCCAACCAAAATGGTGTCACCACAGAACTGGCCAGTCACCCCCTAGCGCCAACTGCTATCACCCACCACCTGAGCAGATGGGAAAACACACACTGTCCACCCCACAGATGCAGAGAAACCCTGAGAAAACACAGCGACCACTCTGAGAAGCATGTTGGAAACCGCGAATCGAACCACACATTCTCCATTGGATAAAGCAGAGTAGCAAAGCCCAGCACAGGCCTGCCAGTCTGTCCCACCGCGGCGGCCTTTGCGTTGCTGGGAGCCACGTCTCCAGTGTTTCAAACACCAGTAGGTCACCTGGGGTAGACAGATTTCGGCAGCAGTGCCAGGCTGAGACCGAGGAGGAAGGCCTGGTGACAGACTTTCAAGAATCAACCACCGACAACCCAACAGGGAGCAGGGGACGCTTCTCCGACCCAGTGCTGGGGGAAGCCTCCTAGGCTGGGAGGCACACAGGATCCAGGTCCACAGGGGCTCCAGCAACGGACTGCAGCATATCAATGGCCAGAGGACGGTGCAGGCCCGGGCGGTGCTCGGCTGTGCTGCACGTGGCCTGGACAGGGGTTGCAGCCTACTCAAGGATGACTAAGCAGAGTGAGACCACAAACGCTGTCAGGACAGCTCTGAGATGGGGAGTGGGACATGGAGGCCGTGGTCACATTCCCACTCCTACTGTCCTCCGGGGGGAGGGGAGACAGAGGCCGTGGTCACATTCTCACTCCTATTGTCCTCCAGTTCCTGGACATCGAAGGAGGGAAAGAAAAAGAAATCAAAGTGGACAGGACAGACATTCAGAAAGGAGCAGACAGGAGGTGTAATGCTCCAGTTGTGTAGACAGGAAACCTACAGGGATTTCCAGAGAAATTATTACAGTGAATAAGAAACCTGGAATCACCATCAATATACAGAAATCAGTTGGATTCCTAAGTAGCAGCAAGTTAGAAAGTAGAATTTAAATAAAATTGGCATTTTCAAATATAAAATGTAAAATTCAAGCAAAAATCTAGCAGAAGATGTCCAAGGGTTCTGGAGAAAAATGCACACCACTTTATTGGGAGAGACTAAAGGAGGCCCAAAGGAAAGCAGTCAGCACACGTGGGCCAGAAGCACCCATCTCATGGAGGTGCTGGTTCCCCTCAAACCGGTCCACACAGCCAAGGTGGTCCACAACCAAGGGCAGCAGGGTTTTCCCTACAAAACCTGACAAACTGCACTGGGCCCACAGGCTCAGGACCATGGCTGCAGGGGACACCCAGCTCCTGCGGCACCCCACCCTACTCAAGACATGTTCTTTGTCCTACTGTGGCTTGAAAGCTCATGAGTGGCCATCCAGTCGGTCTCCCCTCACCCAGAACAAAACCAAAAAAAACCAAACTCACCGCCAGCAAGTTGATTCCAACTCATAGCGACCCCCTTTGGGTTTCCGAGGCGGTATCTCTACAGAAGTAAACTGCCCAGTCTTCCTTCCACGGAGTGGCTGGTGGGTTTGAACCTCCAGCCTTCTGGTTAGCAGTCCAATGCCTTAGGCACCATGCCACCCAAGCTCCTTTACAGAGCACAGGAGAATAGAAACCAAAGAGACATGGAAACAATTCATCCAAGGACTAGAGAACCACATAAGTCTCAGCCTACATGACCCTGAGACCAGAACTGGATGGTGCCCGTCTATACCTGTCAATCACCAGCAAAGGAATCAGAATAGGATCCTGGGTACAGTGGGGGAAAATGTGGAACAAAACTGAAAATTATAAAAAAGACCAGGTTTACTGGCCTGATAGACACTGGCAAAACCCCTAAGACTATGGCCCCTAGTCACCTTTTGGACTTGGAATTTAACTCACTCCCATGGCTTCCAGCCACACAACAGACAGGCCTACAAGGTGAACAATTACAGGGGGAGGTGCAGGCCTCAGACAATCAACCAGGCAGATGAGAAGGGCAGTGTTTGTGCAGGAAGACTGCTCAGAGGGCAGGAACACACAGGAAAGGACGCAGGGAAAAGGCAAGCACGGGGAGGAAGTGGGAAGAGAGCTGTTCCATTGTGGGGACTGCAGTCAATATCATGAAACAACGTGGACAAACTGCTGAATGGAAAACGAATTCTCTCTGCAAATGTTCACCAAATCCCAATAAATAAATAAGAGAATGAAAAACAAACTTGACAAACTGATTCTCACAGTTACACGAAACACAAGGCAACCACAGCCGAGATTCTTCCCAGGATAATCTGAGACAGAAGGGTTTCTGTTCCAGGATCTGAGAACTCATCACTACATGGTGGGGACGGCAGGGCTGAAAGGTGACAGACCACAGCAGGGACCGTGGAGGTGGGGAACAGGATGACGGAACCATGGCGGCGGGGCCGTGGGGACATGTATGGGTGCAGGGAGACAAACTGACCTGTCGTCCCACTGGAGAGGAGACAAATGGACCCTGGCATTGGGGAAAGGAGACACAGGGCAGCGGTAGCTGAGATCCATGGGGGTGAGGCAACTGGGGGGCATATGCTGGGCCAGCAGGGCACGTAGGAAGTGAAACTGGTACACACACAGGTCAACTCCAAGCACCTAGAGCCCTGGGGAGGAACCCTGGTGGTAGCTGCTAACGGAAAGGTCAGCAGTTTGAACCCACCAGCCTGCCGTGGGAAAAAGATGTGGCAGTTGCTTCCATGAAGATTGACAGCCTTGGAAATGCTTTGGGGCAGTTCCACTCTGTCCTCTAGGGGCGCTGTGGATCGGAATGGACTCCCCAGCAGTGGGTGTGGTTTGGGCTTTGCTTCCATGAAGACTGACAGCCTAGGAGACCCTGTGGGCAGTTCCACTCTGTCCTCTAGGGGCGCTGTGGGTCGGAATGGACTCCAGGGCAGTGGGTGTGGTTTGGGCTTTGCTTCCGTGAAGACTGACAGCCTGGGAGACCCTGTGGGCAGTTCCGCTCTGTCCTCTAAGGGTGCTGTGGGTCGGAATGGACTCCCCAGCAGTGGGCCATAGCAGTAGGGCCTTGGGGGGAAGTGATGATAAAGCTGTTGGAGGACCCACACAGAAGCGTGTCCTCATGACCTCAGGGCGGGGGGCACGTCTGTAAACTAGAGCCGCACACATGAGCACATCTGGACACCCAGACCTCTGACCTCCGAAGATCAGAAGGACGGAGGTGCAGAGGAGCCAGGAGGTGGGATGGGGGACAAAAGGAGAGATAAAGGTGGGTCCCCACCTCCACCCTCACTCTCCTGGAGCAGCCCTGGGAGGGCGGAGGGGCTCCCAGGCCCCAACCTGCAGTGAGTGACAGGGCACCTAGGGCTGAGAGAGGTTGGAGGAGGAACCCTGGGACTTGGATGTCTCCCTGGCGGGCAGGCAGGGGTGTGGAGGACCTGGCTGAGCAGGTCCCTGCCGGCTGAGGCACACAGACCCCGCCTGGTGCCCACTGCCTTAGCTTGGCTCACCTGGGTCCATGCCATACTGTTGCACAAGGCGCAGCACCTGTCGGCTGAGCAGTTTCGGACTCAGATTCTCCAGCCTGGCAGCCGTCATCTGCGGAAACCTACTGTGGGAGAGCACGTTGCTGTCAGTGCCGTCTCCTTTCAGTTGATGTGTTTTTTCATTGTGGTGAAATATACACAACATGATGCTCTCACCACTTCCACACGCACGATCCAGTGATGCTGACCACATCTGCCGTGTTGTGTGACCATCACCAGCCTCCATCTCCCAATCTTTCCATCAAATCGACAGAACTCAGCAGCCCCTCTGCACCGAGCCCTCTTTCCCGCACCAGTCGCCACCAATGAACCCAGGGATCCATGGATCTGCCTAGTCTGTGTCACATCAGGGACCATATACCACCCGCCTTCTGTGTGATGTGTCATTCAGCAGCATGTTTTCAAGGCTCATCCCCGTCACAGCGTGTTTTGGGACTTCACTCATCTTTGTGGCTGAGTCACGTCCCCTCGTACGGATGGAGCACGTTCAGATGGCCCACATCTGTTGGCGGACACTTGGGTTGCTTCACCTCCTGGCTGTTGCGAAGCAGGTCTTTGTTTGCATTCCTGCTTTAAGTTCTTTTGGGTGGCACATAGGAGTGGCACTGCTGGGGCGTTTTGTAACTAAGGTAGAACCTGTGAGGCACCACCAGACTGCTTTCCACTGTAGCGGCTCTGTTTTACAATCCCTCCAACAGTGAGTGGGGTTTTAGTTTCTCCACACCTCACTAATACTTCTCTTGTTCCATTTTTCTTGTAATAGCCATCCTGCTGCTGCTGTGAGGGGTCGTTGAATCGGCTCTGACCCAAATGACACCATGTCCAACAGAAGAACACGTGGCCCGGTCCTGTGCACCCCCCAAATCGCTGCCGTGTGTGGGCCCATCGTTGCAGCCACTGCCCCCGTCCATCTCACTGGGGGTCTTCCTCTTTCTCACTGACCCACTGCTGAACCAGCATGATGCCCTCCAGGGACTGGGCCAGCCATGTTGATATCCTTCACCAGCACAGTTCAAAGGCATCAACGCTTCTTCAGCCTTCCTTACTCTTTTCTAGCTCTCACACGCATGTGAGGTAATCGAAAATGCGTGGCTTGGGTCAGATGCATCTTAGGCTTCAAAATGACATCTTTGCTCTTTAACACTTTAAGGAAGTCTTCTGCAATAGATTTGCCCAGTGCAGTACGTCATTTCATTTCCTGACTGCTGCTTCCATGGGCGTTGATTGTGGATCCACGTAAAATGAAATCCTTGACAACTTCCATCTTTTCTCCATTTACAGTGATGTTGCTTACTGGTCCAGTTGTGAGGATTTTCATTTTCTTTACGTTGACATGTGTGGTAGTTAAAGTTGTATGTCACTGTGGCTGGGCCTGGTTGAATGGCTGGGCAGCTGGTGGTAGTTATTCCCCATGAAGAGAATGGCAGTCACCTTCATGGTGGGATCTACCACAAGCAGCTGAGAAGCTGCTTTGGGTATGTGGTCTGCTTCCCATATGTAAGCAGCAGCTTTGGGAATGGTCTCTAGCTTATGGAACGCTTGGACCCTGAGTGTAGCCATGTCATTGTTCAGCAGCCTGCCATCCTCTGCCAACCTTGGGACTCACAATGGACTTGAGTTAATGGCCTGCCATGTGGTTTGGTAACATCGGGACTGTGCCATTTTATTTGTCGACCCTGGGCTTGTTAGCCTCAGTAGCCAGTAGCTGCCTGAGTGGAGAGATGCCTCTAGCTCCAGTGGGCCGGGAGCAGGAGGCAAAGCTGAAGCCCAAGGTCGAGGGAGTTCCACACAGTCCCTAGAGCCTGGCACTTTGAACTGGGACTTAAAGCCTCCAAACTGTGAGAGAATAAACTCCTGTTTGTTCAGCATCCCATTTGCGGTATATTTCCTGTCAGAGTGGCACTAGGTAAGCAGGACATGTAATCCGCACTGAAGGCCGTAGTCTTAGATCTTCATCTGTAAGTGCTTCAAGTCATCTTCACTTTCAGCAGCAAGGCTGTGCCACCTGCAGATCACAGGTTGTTGATAAGCCTTCCTCCAACCCTGATGCCATGTTCTTCTTCATACAGTGCAGCTTCTTGGATTATCTGCTTACCATACAGATTAAGTAAGCATGGTAAAAGGCTACACGCCCTGGAGCACACTTTTCCAATTTTCAACCACGCAGATCCTCTTGTTCTCTTCCAAGGACAGCCTCCTGGTCTAGGTACAGGTTCTGCATGACCACAATGAATTGTTCTGCAATTCCCATTCTTCAAAATGTTAAGCACATGTTATGATCCTTAACATAGTCAATGAGACACACACATGCATGCATATATGCGTGTACGCACACACACGTATGCACACTCATGCACAGACACACACGGTCTTGACAATTTCACAGTGGCCCCCGTCAGGCTTTTCCCTGTATCCACTGGGCGGAGTTCACACAGTAGATTTCCTGGCGGTTTACAGATGACTGGATGAACACATGACCCAGCAACAAACGAGAAAACACACATGCAGTGTGACTTCCAGCAGGGGTTATTTCTGCTCTTCTGTGTACAAGTGGCCTGTCCTCCTCCTAGGAGCCAGCTGTGCTCTGGCCTTCCCTGCCCCTCTTGGCAGCCCTGCTCAAACACTTTGGGTGACAGGGCTGGGCCACGGGCTTGCAGCCCCCACCTGAACTCCTGGTGGTACTCACCTGGCGACCTGTCTAAGGTCAAAGCCGGGCTGGCACCAGGAGTCCATGAGGCTCAGCAGCCCCTGCTGTAGGTCCGGGAAGCCATCCACATAGCGCTCCAGCAGGTTCACTCTGTGTTGGAGCAGCAGCGGGGTGCTCATCTGCAGGGGAGCCCACAGTTAGGCCACTGCCCTGCAGTGCCTTTGCCATGGCAGCCCAGACCCCAGACCTACCACCACCGAGGAGGGAGCAGCCAGAGTGTCAGAACAAAGCAGGCTGGAGGCCATTCCCCATGCCTGCCCACCACGGGGTCAAAGCTCCCCGTCAACCCACCGTACCCTTTGCTCTGAGCTCATGCCCTGTACACACGCATGCACACACACACACGTGCACTCCCAGAGATTATCTGTCTGTCTCCAGTCGGGGGGTCTCACCCGGGCCACAGCCCCCAGCACTGCGCAGCAGGTCAGGCAGCTCTACCACCTCCCTGGCCCGGCCCTTGAAGCCCAGCACGCCCCACCCTCAGTCCTCCCAGCCTCAATGCCAGGGACCTCCCCTCCCATGCAACATGCTCCAGAGACCTGGGTTTGATCCAAGTTTGAACCTAAACGTTTCCATGAGAGAAAACTGACCTTTTCAATGTCAAGCTCTGACTGTAGTTTAAGTTTCATGCTCAGCAGGATGGCCTGGCAGACAGAAAGGAAATGGCTGCTCAGGCCTCGTGATGGGGGCCGCTCACCCTGCTGTGCGCACCGTCAGGAGGGCCCTGAGAGGCCTGGCCTGTTAGAAAGCACCCCCCCCTCCCCTTGCTGGGCCAGGCTTCCCCTGGGGAAGGGCAGGTAGAAGGAGATATCCCCTCACTCTCCCGGGCTGGGAAGTGGCCGGATGGAGCCATGCTGCCTGCCCAGCGGGCACTGGTCAGGGCTTGCAGACAAATGCACGGAGGGCAGGGACCAGCAGGCTCACTGCCGGGACGCAGTGAACGACCCAAAGGGGCTCATCCAGACACAGCCTTTGCAACTCCCACCAAATGACTGGGGGGCGGGGAGGAGGACGGCCTCGTCTGACGTCATCTAACTTCACCATGGGGAGACCCCATCAGCATCACCAGCCCGAGGCCGAGTCCCGTGAGGTGGGGGCCAGACCTGCCACCGCCCTCCAGCCTCCACCCATTCTGACCCCAGCTGTCCGCCCCTGTACTCTCTGCTCCTCTGCTGGTGACTCGCTGCAATGGTCGCACAGAACTCACAGACGGTGCTCACGACCGTGGGGTTTGTTAGGGAAGCAGGTTACAATTCAGGACCAGTCTTCAATCAGGACAGCCTCTTCTCAGCCGTGCCTGTCTCTGGCCCTGGGCGCCATGGCAAGCTTATGAAGCCTACGTAGCTCTGTCACTAAGTGTCCGAAACCAGCCACTCCGCCAGGAAGCCTCGGCCCAGAGGTGCTCAGCTTTCTCTCCCGTGGGTCCTGGAGCCCACTGCACTGTCTCCTGCTGGGTCCTCTGCCACGTGTCACTCTCACAATCTCAGCACTGTTACAGTTCTCTGTCTGTCTCCTGGATTGAGGAGTTCAGTGCAGGGATTCAGGTCCAAGATCCCTCCTGGCTTCTCTTTCTTAATGGTAGTGAGATGCCTCTGTGCACCTCTGGGGTGGCTTGTTTTAAGCCCAGTGGGATGGCACATCTGACTAATGCCCACGTTACGGTTCTACACACCTTATTGGCATGGCCCTACCCCCGCAAGAATGGCGTGTACCCTCCCTACACTCTTAGCAAGGTATCCACTCTCCTTGGTGTCCAATTTACATAGTCCCACCCAGTCAGCTGACGGGATCACAAAGACCATGGCTAGAAGAGCCATATTATGTAATTCACTGCACCACCGCAGGATTATGCAAATGAAGTGCTTGTGGCCCACCAAGGGGATTGGACAGTTTACTAATAATGTAAATCAGGTGCATGACAGCCTTGTGGGGGGTGGGACCATACAAAAAAGGTCTATGGAACCTTAAAGTGGAAACTGGTCAGTTTTACCATCCTGCTAGGCTTAAAATGAACCATCCCAGAGGTGGGAAGGGGGCGTCCCACTAGTATTGAGAGAGAAGGCCCAGCACTGGGGCATGTCCTTGGACCCGAGATCCTTGTGCTGAACCTCCTCAGGGCAGGAGACAGACAGCGAGCTGTAACGCTGCTGAGACAGTGGGAGACGTGCAGCAGCGGCAGCGGCGGAACGGCGGGAGACACCGAAGTGGGCTCACCGGGCCACAGTGTGAGGAAGCCGAGTGCCTTTGGGCAGAATGGGGTGCCTCTGTGCGTTTGCTGGCAGAGCTAAAGGAGCTCTGTAAGCCTTGGCCGAGTGGGCCGGGGAGAGGCCGACCTTCGTCACGGCTGAAGAGAGGTGGTCCCAATGGGAGAGCTGTATCAAGTCCACCTGATTGTGAATGGTAATCTGTTCATGGGTACTGTCTGAGAGCTCTGTGTGGCCACTGCAATGAATCACTGAATCCAGCAGAGAAGCAGAGAGTGCCATGGCAGCGACGGCTGGCGGTGAACGCGAGGACAGGGTGGAGGGTGGCAGTGTGTCTGACCTTTGCCGACAGGACTCAGCCTTGGGCTGGTGATCCTGAGCCCTACGACATTACGGGAGGACAGATGCCACCTTGTGCCACTTTTCACACCTGCTGAGCCCAGCACCAACCAGCACACTGCTCCTCCCCTACCTGCTCCCTACCCCACCCAGAGCACGGGCCCACCAGGAGCCAGGAGGCCTGAGGGGCAAGGGCCCCTTCTCAAAGACTGTACCTCCAGCGTGCAGGGTCTCTGCCTGGCCCCTGTGGGCCTTACAGGCAAGCAAGTGGCTGGAGAAGGGAAGGGAGTGTTCAGTGCGAGGGGTGGGTGGAGCCGCCTGCAGGCACCTTCCTGGGGCCTCACGCAGTCAGCAGAGCAGCCACCAGCACTGGGGTTGCAGTGCTGAGCAGTGAGCCCACCTGGGGACACGCCTCATGGCCGCTCGCACGTACACCACGGGTACTTCCCGTGTGCCAGCCCCTGTAGGCACAGAAATAACATGCTGGGCCACGCCCCCGCCAGTCACATCAGGGACCAAAATAGCGGCCTGGGAAAGGTCCCGCCCGCTTCCACCAGGGGTGGGGGCCCAGAAGGCCAGGCCTTTCCCTGTGGGGCTGCTGTCCCGGCGCCTCCACAACCTGGCCCATGTCCAAGAACCCAGCCCCGGTCAGCCCCTCCCAGCAAGCAGCACAGCCACACTCAGGCCGTCCCACAGGGTCCTGGCCTTTCCTGAGACCCTCAGAAAGCTGCTGGGGGCTGGGACCCTCACAGTGAGCAGTCAGAGCCCCCACCCTCACATCTATATCATACATAAGGACCAGCACAGAAGCCTTGTCTGTCTTCTAGGCCCCCTCTGTCCAAGGAGTCGACGTGGGTAGGGGATGGCTATCTAGAGCCTGTCTGCCACAGCATGCTCCAGGCCTCTCCTCTCTCCTGCTTGGGCCCCTTAGCGCTGGCCTGCTCCTCATCCCAACCCCTGGCTTCATCCTGCAGCCCCAGGTCAGGGCCCTGGTCAGCCTTGTCCACATGGCAGTACTCAGTGTCCACACTGGTTGCTGGGGGGTCTGTGTCCACCCCGCCTACCCCAGGCAGGCCCACTGTGAAAAGAGCATCCTGGTGGGTGTCCCCAGCAAGACCCTCCTTATAGCCCCCAATTTCCTTCAGGTCTGAGACCAGCTAGGCCCCACCTCTGCCCTCTACCCCTACCCAGGCTGCCTGCACAGGGCACTTAGAGGGGACCCGAGTCTCACTGTCCACCCCCAGGGCCCCTCCCCGCCTTGGCTCTCGTTGTCACTGGACAGCCTGGCTTGGAATTAGCCCCTGGCTACTGCTCCGTCCATGTCTGTCCCAAAGGAGAGAGGAGGCCCAGCTTCCCACGCCTGGTCATACAGGGAGGCCAAGCAGGCGGCCATGGGTGCAGAAAGGTCACCTGCCTCTGGCCTCAGACTGCCAGCTTACCACACAGGAGGAAGACCTGGGAGCCAGAGCCTTGAGAATGGGGCAAGGTGCTGCCGGTCAGCCTGGCACCCGGGCATCCTCCCCAGTGGGGGCCTCCCTGATCTCTGGGGGTGGCAGGGCCAGGGGTTGCTGCTCCAGTCTCCTTCCAGGCTCGCGTGCAGATCCTGCTTTCCTGGGGACCAGGGGCGCTGCAGCAAGGTGCCCAGCGCAGTTCCCCCCCCCCACAGTAGGGACCCAGGCCCTGTCGCCACACACCCCCAGCAGTGCAGCCAAAATCTGAGTGTTTTCCTTTTTAAAGCACAGCTATCTCTTTACCTTGATGAGCTGTTTAAAATATGTAAATAAAATAACTCAGGGGACAAAGGCGGGCATTCATTGCCCCCACAGCCCGCCTCCCGCCCTCAACATGAATAAGTCGTGAGCAGCGGCTAATGTGAGCGGACAGGCCTGTAGGCCGTGAGGGGCGCTGGGCCTGCAAGCACCGCCCGCGGGGCGGCAAGGACAATGGCTTCTGCGAGGCCTGTGTGGGACAAGGGCCCCCTTTGTGTCTGGGCCCGCCTGGCAGCAGGGGCGCATCCAAGAGCCCCAGACGCCCTGCCACAGGCGCAGTGCAACCCAAGACGGCGGGAAACCCGAGCTGGGCTGCCTCCTGTGCCCCGGCACCCCTGCCCTGGTGTCCCCCCCCCCC